GCATGGCTGCTGGATCGCATGCCAAGAGTATGTTTAGTTTTGTAAGAAACTGCCCAACTGTCTTCCAAAGTGGCTGCCCCGTGTGCGTTCTCCCAGCACTGAGGGCGTTCCCACTGCTCCCGTCCTCACCAGCTGTCAGCAGTGTTCTACTCTAAACACATCAGCAAGGTTGTCAATAAGTCATATCCAATTCTTTTAAATACCAGTATACTGATGTTTTTGTTTGTATTATAATTGTCCAATTTAATTGTGGATTTTCCTCTTTATACCCTGTCAATTTTTCTTTTACTTATATATTTGAGGCTATGTTATTGGGTCATTCCGATTTAAAATTGTTGTATCTTCCTGGTGAATTAAGTCATTCTGAAATGACTTTACAAAAATCTTCAGTAATGTTTTTTGCTTTAAGCATTATTAGCCTTAAGGTTTATTATGTCTGATTTTATATGGTCTATGATGTTCTTTTTAGAATGGTATTTGTCCAGTATATCTTTTTTTTAAAATCATTTTTACCCTGCTTTAACTATAAAAACTCTAGTCTAAGAGTAACTTTTTAAAAATTGGAGCACATATTCCATGGTTAACTTAATTACAGGTATATGTGTTGACATTGATAATCTTTTCCAGAAGTTAGGTAACTTTGTAGAGTGCATTGTTTTGTAAGGCACTTAATATTCATGTCATGTGCAAAGTTTCCTGTGACCAGACACCGTCATTGTTAAAAGAAGGTAACAGAAACTTCCTATTTAAAAATGTTGGGAAAAGATGACTTTATTCATTATGTTAAAATTTCTAAAAACCATACATCTTTTTTATTCATAAATTCTCAGCTTTTCGCTGTGGCCTGCAGTTCTTAGGCAATATTGCCTCACGGAATGAAGATTCCCAGGCTATCGTGTGGGCGCACGCTTTCCCGGAACTCTTCTTGTGAGTATATTGCTGAGTTCTTATCATTTCTGAGAAAGTTGTGGTTATATCATTCCATTTATATGAAGCTCAAAAACAGGAAAAGTGAACCTTTGCTCATGGAAATGAGGATGGTGGTTTTCTTGGTGAGTGGCGGCGGGTTCAGTACCAGCTGAGAGAGGGCACGAGCCAGTCTCCTGGGTTCGGGAGTGTTCTGTACCCTCATCTGGGTGGTAGTTGCGTAGGTGTATTCATGTCTCAAATGCATTGATTTGTGTCTTTTGTTGTGTGTCAGTTTCACTTTAAGAAATTAAAAGTTTGGGTTAAAATGAGAAATATTGTCCCTAGCAGACACTGTCATTTATAAGAAAAAGCCATAAAACATGGAGTTGTGGGCAGCGGGTTAATCATTCATGTGTCTGAGCACTTCCAGTGTGCTTGGCAGATGTGGAGAATGTTCGTGTGGGTCCCAACCCGCTCCCCCAGCTTGGTTCAGGGTACTTTTCTTGGCGTCCTTCTACTTTGTTTGAGCAGCTCTGTTAGTTCGTAAGAATTTGAGCATTGAGTGCAAAGGTGAACAAGTGACGGGGCAGGAAGGGAAGGGGAAAAGCAGTGTCCGGCGTGGAGGCCTGGTGTCTCATCTCGGCTGCGTTGCCACTGAATGGGGTGACTTTGGTGGTGGCAACATGTAAGCAGAGCAGCTGCTGTTCATATGTCCCGAGCTGGGCATTTCTGCCCATTCTCCCTGTCCTGTGCCCAGCCCTGGGGGTCAGTTGCTGTCCCTGTTTGGGCAGATGAGGGACCTGGAGCTTAGTGCTGGTAAACATAACCCCCTCGCTGCCTAAGTTCTTCCCTGGTTGCATACATTTTTCTGGGTCACTTGTAAAGTATGGTGTTTGCATCAGATAATCCTCATGTTCCTTCTCGTGCCCTGAGTATAACTGTCACTCAAAGATAAGTAGAGTTGGAGGCATATATATACCTGTTATCTGTATGATTGATAATAATTGAGCTTAGGTGGAAGGAAAGAATTGTGGGATTCAAGTTACAGAAGTATAAAGCTAATCACTTCTCCAGAAGAGTATTATGAAGTTTAAATGAAAAAATAAATTCTGCCACATGCCTGACCCATAATGTAATTGACAAGAGCTAAATTGAGACCTTGCTAAGGTCACAGAGGACGGGTGGATGAACCAGGATTTACAGTGAGGCTCTTGTCTGCATTTTATTTCTTGCCAGGATACCACCTTCCCCTTAAACAGTCTGTCCTTTATGACTATTAATGGATACTGATGTTGTGACTAATTTTATACTTGCCTTTTTTGCAATAAATAATATACTTGTTTCAATGTGTTGTAATTCTTCATTAAATTCTTAAAAATTTAGTATGTACTGAATTTGTTATTGGGATTATTATTTATTTGCTATAATTTTATTTTATCATGTTGTTAAATTGGGCTAACACTTTCATTTCTTTATTTGGAAGGTCCTGCTTAAATCACCCAGACAAAAAAATTGTTGCCTACTGTTCAATGATTTTGTTTACATCCCTTAATTCTGAAAGAATGAAAGATCTGGAAGAAAACCTCAATATTGCAATTGATGTCATAGAAACTCACCAAAAGCAGCCTGAATCAGAATGGCCGTGAGTATCATGTTAGGAATTTGATTGCTTAAGAACATTCTGACAGATCACTTTCCTAATAGAGATTTTAAGTAAAAATTCAAATTACAATAATTGGACAGTAAGTTAAAATGACACATGTTGACAAAATAAGAAAAGTTTCTCAGTAGCCGCTGGAGGCTTTGCCAGAGGTGAAGTGAGGTTTGAGCCGGGCCTTGAAGGGGTGAGAAGTTTTTAAGGTGGTGAGGAGGGCAAATACATGGCTACTGTGGAGCGTGTGGGCCAGACCATTGTGGCTGCAGTGGGTGCTTCCTTAAAGGTTAGAGGTTCGTAAGTATCCTGTGGGCATCGTTTAGATGAGAGATTCACTGTCATATTATACTTGTGGTTGGTGAGCACACTTGATGTCATTTCATTCTATTTAAATATATTGAGGCTTGTTTTATGGCCTAACACCTGGTCTGTCATAGGGAATGTTCCATGTTTTTGAGAATAATGGGTATTCTGTTTTTGATGGAGTGTTCTATAGATATCTGGTAGGTCTAGTGATTTATAGTGTTGTTCAAGTCTGCTGTTCCCGGATGGTCTCCTGTCTAGTGATTCATTATTGAAAGTGGGTTGCTTTTTATTTCTCCCTTCAGTTCTGTCAGGTTTTGTTTCACTTATTTCCGTCTGTGTTGGTAGGTACATAGAAGTTTGTAATTGCTGTGTCTTCTGAGGAATTGACTCTTTCATCATTATAAACTCATCATTTTGTTGTTTTTTTATTAGTGCCCTCCTGTTTTCTTTAAAATCTGTTTTATGTCTGTTTGCCACATAGCGATCCGTTTGTCTTGGGTCGGGAGCCTTGAGCTGCCAGTAACCCCACTGCATTTCACAGGCATGAACTTCCCCAGTTTTGGCCTCTTTTAGTATGAACGTTATTGTTCTATTGAAGGTATACCTAACCTTAAAGTGATTTATATGTATGGGCATTTATTTTATTTGAATTACCATTTGCACACAAACAGAAGTTGGTACAGAGAGAATTATGTTATTGTGCTTGACTTAGAAAACCTCCTTCGGTAATGCAAGTGTTTTTACATGACGGGTGAGTCATTAGTCAGATTATTAAGCGAAATTTTCTATAGCCTAATTCTGTTTCATCTGTTAAGTATCTTGGAGCTATATTTTATGTAAATACTTTAAAATATGTTTTTATTGATTTGAGAGAGAGAGAGAGAAATGCATCGGTTGCCCTCCTACATGCTCCCACGGGGGATAGAGCCTGACGACACTCAACCAACTGAGCCACACCGGCCAGGGCGGATCTATATTTTAACCATCTGTAATTGTTTAGCAGCATGGAATAAAGGGCAAAAGGTCGTAAATGGCAAAATATAAGATCTCCTTCAGGACAGTTCAAGTTAAAGTCATCAAAGGTTACTAAAAGGGTTTAGACAGGAAAAAGGATGGGAAGTAGTAGCTAACTGTCTTCTGTACACTCTGCTTGACTTACGTGAGCAGAACTCTGTGTTTCGTAAACAAAAATGGGACCACAAAATACCCAGAGATGTCCAGCAACATTGTTACTTTTCACTGTTAAACCTGAACCCACCCCTGAACATGAAGAGTAAAACTACTTTTTGCCCTCCCAGCATTCCATAGGCATGAACTTGCCCAGTTTTGGCCTCTTTTAGTGTGAATGTTATTGTTGTATTGAAATTATACCTAATTTTAAAATATTGAGAACAGTATTTTACAATGAGCACAAAAGGACATGGTGTTAGAATTCACAGGTTTAGTATCTTTTCTTGGAAAGGGACAAATGTAAGGTTTCAATCACTTTGGGTCTTTTTGTTTTGGTTCACACAGGAAGGCGTAGGCGAAGAAGGCTTTGGCACGCCTCCGTGTGAATGATTGGGATGATGTCCTTCTAAAAATGCTCGCTTCTCTCGTTCGTAGGTGTGAGCGATGTGCGCATGCTCTTAGATGAGCCTGGGTGAATCGGTCCGGGGGAAGTGTGGCATTTGAATCTCTCTGCACCTGACCGCCCACTGACTGCGCGTTATTCGTAGGCAGGGTCGGTGTGGAGTTGTGGAGCGTGAGGGGTGGGGGGCAGTGCGGCCCTGTGCTGAGGGCGCAGGGTGTCGGGTCTGGTTTTCCGGTCACTGCCATCCTGGGAACGAGAGCCCCGAGACTCAGCCTGTTACTGTAGGGCTCCCACTTCGTTACTGTGGCCAGTGTGGTAAGAAAGCAGTTTTGGGAGGAGGCTGAGTTTAAAGGTGAATGATGATTTCTTTCAGTTTTGGCCTCTTCCAGCATAAACTTTAGCGTTCTCTTGAACCTACGGTGTCACCACAAAAATGAATTTATAACTGTGAGTGGAGTATTACTTTTGGGTCATATTTGGGTTACCTAGTTGATTTATTTTGCATGACAAAGTTTCACTCCCAGATTGCTATCTCCTTTGCTCTAGGGATGTTTCTTGCCTTTTGGATATAAATTTTACTATTTCCTTGGCTATAAAGGTATTAGGAAGATAAATGTAATTATCCTTCCCGTGGTGGTTTGACTCTGCTGCCCCTCTTCTGTTCTCCTGCACACTCACATTTCATAGCATGTGCCACTTGTCTGTGAGACTGGGAGCACCTTATGGCAAGATTTGGCATTTGTTCTGGCAACCTCAACAGAACAACGTTTGGCATGTGGCAGGCAGGAGCCTAGTCTTGAGGCTTCTGAGTCTGAAGTGTCGGCAGCCCCGCTCAGATAGCACACCTGCAGAGAGAGCCTGCCGGCCCACAAGACATCCTGGAGGTACTGGCTTTGTAGGCACAGTGGGTGCAGGGGCGGCCAGGCCCATCAGTACTGGCTCGCTGTGTCTCCTCTTCCTCCTGCGCTGCTTTCGCTCAGGCACCGTTGCCGCCTGCGTTGTTAGCGCCTGTTCTTTATCTGCCCGAAGATGGCATGGCCCGTGGCCCATCTTCAGCTGCCTTCCCTGTCATTGCTCATTCCTGGGCGACCGTCCCTAGTTCCACAGCTTAAGATTGCTTTCTAAGTTGGTGATTTCCAAATGGATGTATCTGGCCTTGACCTCTGGCCAGAGCTCCAGACCTGTGTGTGCACCTTCCCCGGTGCGCTCGTAACCGAGGCCTCACCCTCGGGAAGCCCTCAGTCCCCCCGGAGCCTGCCTTGCTCCCATCCGCACTGGTTCTGGCCCACCTCACCTTTCACCTGTGCTGAGGCCCGGACCCTGCTCGCCCAAGCCTGAGAGTTGGCCTTGCTTCCCTTCCTCTCACCGCTTGCACGCATCAGCCCTGTCTGCCAGCCGTGCTCCAAGGTCACCTGCTTCACACCCGCTCTGTGCGACAGCTCGAGGCAGCATCTCCCGGAGACAGACGACTGCGGGACCTGCTCGCTCACCTTTCTGCCCTCCTAGTCACCACACAGCGCGTAAATGTGCTGTAGAGCTTGCCACTCGCTTGCTTAAATAGACCCTCTGGGCGCTTCCCCCAGCACCAAGGAGCCAATTTGAAGTGATTGTCATGTCCTGGCTCCTGACTGAGCTCATTTTACTTCTGACCATTACCTACCTCACTGCTCCTTACTTCCCACTGCTCGCGCTGCTTTTCTGTGAATTGCCCGAGTTCTCTCCTGAATCTTGACACCTGCCCTCCCTTCTGTGTGGAGTGCTCCTCCTCTGTGTGGAGTGCTCCTCTGCGTGGCGGGCTCCTCCTCTGCGTGGAGGGCTGCTCCTCTGTGTGGCATGCTGCTCCTCTGTGTGGAGGGCTCCTCCTCTGGGGGAGTGCTCCGGAGTGCTCCTCTGCGTGGCGGGCTCCTCCTCTGCGTGGAGGGCTGCTCCTCTGTGTGGCATGCTGCTCCTCTGCGTGGAGGGCTCCTCCTCTGGGTGGAGTGCTCCTCTGCGTGGCATGCTGCTCCTCTGTGTGGAAGGCTCCTCCTCTGCGTGGAGTGCTCCTCTGTGTGGCATGCTGCTCCTCTGCGTGGAGGGCTCCTCCTCTGGGTGGAGTGCTCCTCTGCGTAGCATGCTCCTCCTCTGCGTGGAGGGCTCCTCCTCTGCGTGGAGTGCTCCTCTGCGTGGCATGCTGCTCCTCTGTGTGGAGGGCTCCTCCTCTGCATGGAGTGCTCCTCTACATGGACTGCTTCTCTGCATGGAGGGCTCCTCCTCTGCATGGAGTGCTCCTCTACGTGGACTGCTTCTCTGCATGGAGGGCTCCTCCTCTGTGTGGAATGCTCTTCCTCTGTGTGGAGTGCCACAGCCTGCTTTTATAAATACACTAGAGGCCCGGTGCACGAAATTCGTGCACTGTGTGTGTGTGTGTGTGTGTGTGTGTGTGTGTGTGTGTGTGTA